ACTTAATGTATTGTGATCAATCTTATTCAATTTCCACCATAATTCAATAGCAACTGTATATTCTGATTTCACGGCACTGTACATGTTGATTCCAAACCATGATGAACAATAACTTTCATTGGTGTCCAAGTTGAGCTTGAATGGTTTTACACGATTATTAAATTCATGAAAGTCACCATTATCAGCCAGTTTTTGCCCAGAGATGTCATCTTCATCACTGACTTGGCAGGTATCCTACATAATATGCCTGAGATCATTACTCAGTCGACTGCTAACACCAAGAGAAATATGGTCATCAGGCAATTTTTTGCCAATGGCCTCGTTGTCATTGCTGAAACTGGTTGGCATGTCGACAATTCTTCTTTTTCTCACTTGTAATGGTTTTAGATAGGATGCATTAGGGATATCATAATTCATCACTTGATTCGCAGTCTCGAATATCACTCTTTTTTTAACTTGTTGTTCTGTTTCATCATTAAGAGTGAAAACAAATATTATTTTATTCATGACATCTCTCGTGGTCATCAATGATCCAATACTGATACCTTGGTTAATTCCTGATTCATGGTTGAAAGCAATAGCATTAGGAACATTCACTCCACTATTTTTTAATATTGAATAATTTGTTGCCATTCATATCAAGATCACCAGTCATAGCGTGTGTACCAACCAAAAGCATAACAGTATTTTTATCAGGTCTTTCAGCTATTTCTGTATTGAATGTTGTTATGTCAAGTTTTCCACTTAGTTCATTAAGCATAGTGCTTAAATCAGCTTTCTTAACAAGTTCAGCTTGTTATTTATTGTCATTTACAACAGCAATGCCATCTAATGGTTGATCTGAAATGTCAGTTATTTGTCTGTCAGCACCATGAACACTAGTGAAATTTAAAGTGCAACTAAACCCCCAATTTTTTTTTGCGCTTAACCAAATAAGCTTAATTTTTGGAGTATTTCTGTGCAAAAATTTTTAATTTGCTCAAATCTTTAATTTTCTGTGCCCAGTCAAAATACGAAAAATAGGCCACCATCTTGCCCCACGACCGAGTTTAAAGAGGAATGGCTCTAACGGGTAATGTGACGTCAAATCGAGAACACGAAAGTCTGCATTTCACACATTTTCACTTGTTTGGGAAGGTTGTCGTCAATATTGTCCGAAATATGCCGACTAGGTGTGTTGTATGAGGAATGTATGAAGCGCGATACCCTCTTGCAAATTTCACACGTTGCTACATCCTTCTACAACACACTTT